AGCCCCAGCCCCGCCTGCGCGCTTGACCCCGAGCGTCCCGCGGCACCGGCTGTCACGGGCCCCGCGGGACACGTGTGCTTTCGCAGTATGTGAGCTCCGCGTCGCCTGTCTTGTTCGATTGTACGCCCCGTTCCAGCTCCCGCCCTTGTAAGTGCTGTGCGACCCGAGATTCCTAGAGGAAGTCCTGCTTTTTAAAAACACGGGTACCTTGCAGGGAGGGGGACTGCTTCCCCTCCTCAGGGGGCGGTCACTGGGCTCTGAACCAAGTACGTTTTTGATGAACTAAGGTGAATAAAGGCAAAACTAAAAACTCCTCAAGCGGTTTAATGGATCAGTGTCCGATGCGTGCAGCGCGGGGTACCGTCCGTGCTGCCCCGCCGGGCGGCGGGGCGGGGACACTCACCTCTGAAGGTCTCTGCTTTGTCCCAGGTACCTGCCTCACCTTGGTCAAGGTGCTGTCACCTGGTCTCGTCTTGGCATAAGTAAATGCTCCTGAGAACTAGAGACGTGGCGCGAAGTGAGCGGACGGATGGGGACCTGGGTGTTTCCCGGGAATAAGCGACGGGAAAACCCGCCACGCCCCGGCGGGGTAAGATACAGACAGACGTCGGCCGAGTGGCCGGCATGGCTCGCTGGAAAAACTGCACGCGTCCGCGGTTGAAGCGGGCACTTCAGCTGTCCGAGGGAGAATGCGGGGGCAAGAGGAGGAAATGTTCTGCGTCCCCGAGTCTGCTGCTCTGGTGTGCGTGGCCCCCACCTTCAGAGGCCTGGCCTGACAAACAGCAAGTCACCGGGGCTGCACGAACACTTCCCTCTGGGTAGCCACAGGCCCGCCAAGAGGCGCTGGGGACCTCCTGGGGGGCCAAAGGCATCAGGTCTCTCCCTCTGGTGTCCGGCAGAGCTCATGAGAACACCAGGGTCCCGCGCCAGCTTCCGCTCAGACCACCGCCACCCAAATCGCGGAGGACGGAGCTGCGAGTGCCAGGACGTGTTCGTACCGCGCGGACCGTGTCTGCAAACATGCCAGAGAAACTTCACATCAACCCGTGCCAGTCTTGAGCTCCTGCGGAACCTCGAGCTAGAACAGCCCACATCAAGGGTTAAGGTTTCTGCTCATAGCAAGGATATCTTTTAAAACCAGGGAAACTTGACAGAGAATGGATTTAAAACCATCTCTCTCTCTTGCCAAGTGGGGAAGGCAGAAAGGGCTGACTCCCTAGTTTGCAGATCAGGAACTGGAGATTTATTTGAAAGGACGTGTGCTTCACAGTCTAGGAGATAAAGACCTAATAAAATGAAACAGCTTTTTTTAATTTTTATTTTCAGTACATTAAATTTACTCATAAAAACATTCTAAAAATGTACAATTTTTCCTTTTTAACAAAGTATAATAAAACATAAAAACTTCAAAAACAATACTTAACATTTACAATTCAAAATCAAATTAGCAGAATATTAAATATTTACAAAACTATATCTTTTAAAAATATTTATAAAGTTACATGCAATTTTGTAGAATTGACATAAAAGAATGGCTCAAAAATGGGAGAATTTTCCTTCATTCCTAAAAAGAAAATCTGTCCAAGATTAGCTGTGAAGATTCTCGAGTACACGAGGTCTCTGGTTTCAGTACCAAAGCCTTCATCTTTGTGCATGTAAGAACTTAATGCATGTGACAGGCTTGTAAAATCCCCGGGACCGACCGACGAGCCACACTGAGCTCCCCTCCCCCAAGAACAGTGTAGTCAAGTTGACCTTTGGCCTCAACCAGCAAGTATGTGGTTTTGCGAGTGTTGGCTGAATCCGTTCAAGAACCTCAGGATTTTGCAAACAGCCTCTTCAGGACCCACGGCTTTAAACGTCCCCTGACTCATTCTTTGGGAGTCATCTGCACGTTGAAAAGGACACCCGCCCGCTCGGGTTCCACAGGCCCATCCATCCTCTGGGAAGGACATGGTTTCCCTTACCATCCTTAAGACTCACAGGTACGCCATCGCTAACCAGTACGTAAAACCAGCAAGGCATCAAAGAACCCACCACAGAAGCAGGAAGAGTACAAAATGACGGAGTGAGGAGGGCGCAGCCCGATTCCACTGGGCCAGTGCTCTCCAGCAACACTGGAGCGAGCCCAGAGCAAGCCCCAGTCCGATCCAGATGGATCAGATCGGCCGGTGCCCCCGCGGGGACGCGCCGCAGCAGCTGTGTGACGCTGGGCGGGGTTGCCACCAGGCCTCCGGGCCCCCGCACAGTGTCGTGCAAACTAGCTACAGTGACTTCTAAATAGTGAATTAAAACACTGAACCTACTGGCTACTATATTCACAAGCCGACTCCTGTCATCTGGAGATTACAGATGATGCTGGTTGTTGGTGGTGGTTTTTCATACCCAATCACACATACCTGCTTCGAAGAAAATAATTTTGTCGTCGTCGTAAGTGCTAGCTCCCATTTCCTCAGTGCTGTTCAGCAATGACAAGTTTCAACATTTAAACACGTTTCCAATTTTCAATATTACCATGAAATAAAAATTAGAAAAGGTAGAAAACTGAGTGTTTGCTTAAAAAAAAAATTGAATAGTTCTTTTATCCCAACATTGTATTCCACTTCAATCTGTACATTCCACTTCCCCCATTCTTAGAGACAAAAAAACGGGGATAGAAACTTTGATATATGACAGACGACACAGAGCAAAGTGGCTGTGCCACACCTACCGGTTGCTACAGCCTTTGCAAACTGAGCCCATGATTTCAGGGAAATGACTACGTAGTTGAAAGGGTCAGTCAGATCTGTGTTTCTAAAAAGATGAGGACATCTGAGGAAATGCAAAATTGCTCTTCAGGCTTACGGACTTTGGTTGCTTTTGGAGAGAAATGTGTCAGAGATGACGCTGCCAGCAAACATTCCCAAGTCCAAGCGTTCACCTGGGAAGAGTCTCACGGATGCGCAGCTGGATGCTTTGTGTCCCGTGTCTCTCACGTTCACGTTTCTCAATTCTCACCTTGGAATGGCCTCACTGGAGACATCACACCGCACATGCACTTTCAAAGACAAGTGGGAATTTTGCTAAGACCTTTGATGACTGGAACACAGCCGCACAATGTCTGGACTTATTTACCTCCATTTGCATGTCCTACTTCGAATCGAAGCTCGTATTTTAATTTTTTGTTTTATGGAACACACTAACTGCTAATATTTATCAAAATAGTCATAAGGGTAACAACAGACACTTTCATTCCCCGATACTGACCACTAAAACAGAAACCCTAAATATGGTATTTTTTTTTGTTATGAGACAGTTTTCAACAATTTCACTGTGTTGAAATAGGATTTATTTAAAATATTTCTTTGTTTAAAAAACCAAAAAATTTAAAAGTTTGGCTTTCAGCACATGTCCAGGCCACCATAACGGCCTTCAGAAATATTAAAATCGTAAACATCAGTGGACACTCCCAAGTCTTCCTTTAACATCATATGACAAGTTCCAGGCTCCTACTCTTTAAGGCAAAGTTGTATCAGTTCTCATTATTTTTACATTTTGTAGTGTTTATAATTAAGAGATCAATGTAACATTCCCCAAAAAAGCTGTTGTAAGCATCACCGTCACTTCAAAACTGTATGTAATACTGTGTACCAGGAAGAGAGAGAAGCATACAGAGGTCTGTCAATTCTGCATTGCATAGAAATGAAACTCTACTAAAAGCTCTAAAAAAATTCTACGAAAAGCCTTAAAAAAAAAAAAAAAAGGTAACAACTCTGCTCAAGTTTCCCTCCAGCCAGGAAACTGATGATAAAATTTGAAGCCTCACATCACAGAGCCTCAAATTCTAGGGTATTCTTTTGATTGACACCAATTCGGCTGAGGCTGATTGTCCCATCTTAAGAAAGGTCTGAATATTACGTTTTTCTGTTTTTAAATAAATATTCAACTGCAAAATCCCTGGGCAAGGCCTTACCAATCAATATTTTAATACTGAAGGCTTTAGTGTTTAAAGCAATAATATGAGCAGAAAATTCCCTTTTAGCTTTAAAGGTTTAAGTCCCTAAATTTCGGACCAAGAAGCTTTCATGGTCATGGGGTGAAACAGCTGTATGGTGAGGCCTGATCTCCCACTTCGGATAAAACTAGACTTCTGCAGATCTTGGAGCTCTGTCCTGTTGGTGTGGGCTCTCTCAGAGTCTTACCACTTTTCTATTGTAGTTTTCAGGTAATTTTTAGAGAACTAACCACTAATACACAGCCTAATACAAAAGAAGTTGACAGGAGAATATTTCAAATCTTTTGCTCGTAATTATAGGACTGTATCACCGTTGAAGTGTTTGTCTCGAGTGTGAATCCGTTAGCAGTAAGCCTTGGGGTCCTTGGGAGATCCGTGTGGAGAGGAAAGAACTTGCCAACTTTGCTAAGGGCGTGTAGCAACCCCCAGCGCCGGCTCACGAAGGCCGAGCGGTCACTGTGTCTCTGCGAGAGCTCTGTCGCGGTGGAAGGCGACAGGACTTCAAGCTATGCAGGGCCGGGAAGGAAGGGATTCTCAAGGCTTTGACAACTAGGGACTCTCTGGGACTTGGACCCTTAGACGTTAAGTTGTTGCGAGTAACTATTTCTACTTAACGCAGTTTAAATTTATTTGCAGGAAAAAAAAATTAAAACCTTGAAACTGCTACGAGTGTCTTAAGGAGGGAAGGAAATGCTAAAATCTCTGTTGTGTACCAAGTCACGTAGCCTGCTGGTGCCAACTCCTTAAAAACGGATTCTCTGAGTGTCTTGCACTGACTGGTCTTGGGGAGTCTGTCTCCCAGAACGGCAGAGAGTGACATCAGTTTACATTCTTCGGTAGTGCAATCCTTAAAAAGCCCAGAGAGATTAGTGTTCAACCACTTGAGGAACAAACAAAACAAAAAACAAAAAACAAAAAACAAAACAAAGGCGACATTTTCCCTCACGCAGGGGTATCAAGAGTCCGACTGCTGGAACTCCGCGCGGAGCGCTCCGACCTACAGGTCTCGGTTCCGATCTTGCGTAGCTGCCCGGGAATTACGTGTGAGCCTGGAAGGACCGACGGCGGCAATGCTCCTCGGGACATGGAGGTCTCTGCATCGCAGCCACGGCGGAGACCCCGACCAGGCGAGTCCTGACGTCAAGCTCCGATCTAGGATTTTGGCAATAAAACTGAGTTTGATGCACTCCTACGCTAGGTTTTCTATCCAGTCTAGTAAAGTAAAGCACCTTTGGATTAAAAATATTAAGCTCAACAGCAACTAGACTTCTCAGTTTTGTATTTAAGTTTCCTTATGTCTCCATGGCTTAATAGTGTTCTGCTGCCAGAGAAAGTATCAGTCTGTGGCGTCCAGACTTTCTGCCGGAGGGGCGTATTTCAGCCTAAAAGTACCTAGAGAGAGGGGGAAAGAGACCAGATTTGAATCACTGTGCAACCCCTGCCAACGAGTGAGCTGCCCAAAGCTCCTGCTAGAGTCTCTGTCAAGAGGCAGGCGCGGCAAGTCTGGACCACCTGTCGGACCCACGCCCAGTTCCTCGTTCCCGCCCCCAAAACTAAGCCGTACAGATGGATCAGCCTCAGGGGTGACACGGCCGGTCCCCGGGACGCTTCTCTTTTGCTTCCAGAGCTCGGCCGGGCAGTGGGCCGGGGAGGCCTGACCCTCGCCAGGGGCCTGGGCTGACTGCTCCGGGAGCCGGCCACGCGGTGAGCACACCGACACCCGCCCCACCTGCCACCAGAGCTGGCTCGCCTCGAACGTGCTCTGGCTGACCACGATGCACAGGCGGGTTGCGGGATCCCAGGCCTGGGGCAACCATCCAACGTCTCCAGAGCCCAGGGGACTACCCCAGGACGCGCCGTGAGTACCACGGAGCTGGGAGAGATGCCTCCTGCCTGGTTTCATCTCCCTTCCCCAGCCAACGGCGAGAACACACCCGTGTCCCCACATCACACACATACCGGACCTGGACTAGAGACAAAAGAGAGCGAGTGGAAGTAAAAATGGGGGAGGGGGGATGGCGTGTGTGGCCGCAGGGAACACCACGCAGCCGCCTCGCCCCGCCGGCTGGGTCCCCCGGGGCAGCAGCAGCAGGACAGCCTGTGGCAGCGCCCTATCAACCCCACGGGCTGCCCGGCTCGCAGGGCCAGCGTGCCCTCCCCCGGCCGGCCGGTCCCCTCGGAGAGAGGAGGAGGCTGCAGCGACGGGCAGCTGGAGACCACGCGACCCTTCCGGAGGCCTTCACGGCCAGCCCAGCGACAAGGACACGCTTTTCCCAGGAGCGTCCATGCTCTAGAGGCAGCCCGTGGACCTCGGTGCCAGCGCACGGGGGCGCTCTGTGCCCCAGCGCAGCCCGCTCGGCGGCCGCCCCCCCTACCTTGCCGGTTGAAGTCCATGGACGGCTGCTTGCAGTCCTGGGCGCGGTGCCCGGTGGCCCCGCAGTTGTAACACGACAGGTTGCCGCTCTTCTTGTGGCCGGAGCCGCCGCCGCCACCACCCAGCCCCGGTGCCTGGTACACGCCCGCCGCGCCCGCCATGAAGCCGGGCATGGGCGGCACGGCGAAGGCGGACTGGCCGGCCAGCACGGGCTCGGGGGCCACGCCGCCGCCGTAGGGCGAGTGCACCACGGGGAAGGCGCCGCCGCCGTACTGCTGGGCGCCCACATAGCCGCTGCCGCACACGGGGCTGAAGGGCAGGAAGGGGAAGGGGAACACGGACGGCCCCGAGAACGGGTGCTGGAAGTAGTTGGCGTAGCTGACGGTCAGGCCGCCCGAGCCGCAGCTGCCACTGCAGCCACACGACGTGCACACGACGCAGCCGGGCGGCGGGCCGGGCGCGGGCTGCTGGGGCGCCGACTGCGGCTGGTGGTGGTGGTGGTGGTGGTGGTTCTGGCTGGAGGCGGGCAGGTTCCCGGGGGAGCCCCCGCCGCCCCCACCGGCCCCCCCGCCGCCGCCGCCCCCACCGCCGCTGCTGTAGAAACTGCTTTCGGGGGCTGAGGAGAGCGCGGGGCTGGAGCTGGGGGCCGGGCAGCTGGGCACGGTGGCCATGCTGGCGAAGGACGCGGAGGGGTGGCTGCTGGAAGAGGCAGTGTTGCTGCTCGCACAGAAGCTGGCCTGCAGGGGCCCCAGGGGCACACTGCCCATCGCGGAGAAGGCAGCTTTGGTGCTGGCGGCGCACACGGCAGCCCGCGGCTTTATTATTGCAGGGGGCACGCTTATTTGCACGTTATTCGAACAGGCAGTTTGCCCAGAAATGGCAGAATCCGTGGGGACAGATGAAGACACCAGAAGTTTGATGGGGGGCCGGGCCGCGTGGAAGACCGTGCCCGACGTGCCCGCGGCAGCAGTGCTGGCCTCCCCCGCCAGGGCCGGCTGCGGGGCCGACTTCATCACCCTGTCCAGCGCGGACGTGTGCACGACTTTGGCACGGGGACCGAAGGAGACCGTGGGTGACACGGAGCTGCTCTCGGCGAGGGCAGACAGGACCTGCAGGGGCTGCTGGGGGGTGGGTGTGGGTGCCGCGTCGATCACGGCGTGGCCAAAGTTCTTGTCCACTTTGATGCCGCCTCTTGGTCCCGAGAGTTTACTCCTTTCTTCGAGAGACAGCAGAGAGTGCACAGAGGGCGGGAGGAGCTTCATGTCCGCACCCCCCCTTTCTGACTTGTGCACGGAATTCAGCATCCGGATGGGCGCCAGGTGCGAGGCCGCAGCCATCATCTGCGCGGGGAGGGGGTGGTGGCCCGACGGACTGGAGCCGGCCTCGTTCTGTACGGGGAGAACCTGGGCCGTGGGTCTCGTGGAACCCGACGCGAAATGGTTCAGCAGCATGACGGGCTTCTCCTTCTCCGAGCCCTCCCCGTGCACGTCCACACCTGTGGGCGGAAACGGAGCGGTCAACGAGGCGCCCGGGCCCGGGCAGGGGCAGCACAGCGCTCCCAGGCCGGCCGGGCGTCCTTACGTCTGTCGCTCTCCTCGGCGCTGTCCGAGCTCTCGTCCCGGGCCTGCAGCCCCATCGGGCTGGGTGACGAGCTGGAGCACTCGGAGGAGCTGCCCTCCCGCGCCGTCTGCTGGGGCGGCGGCTCCACGTCCACCCGCAGCGCTGCGGAAAAGGGGCACCGGCGTGGGTCGTGCCGGCCGCGGCTCCCGCGCCCCCCCCCCCGCCCGCCCCCGAGCACACCGCCCTGCGGAGCCCTGCGCCGGCCCCAGGGAGGCGGCGGTGACGGGACCCGGAGATGCAGGGGCGACAAGCAGCCCAAGGCCCCACGCCTGCCTCCTCACAGGTGTGGGCACAGCCAGGCTCCGGCCAGGGGCTGCAATGCCGCTCGGCTTACAGGCCGCAGAGGAAGAGACAAGGGTCCCCGGCCACCACGGGGCAAAAGAAGTCATCTCCAACACCGAGACACCCCATTTTAGGAGGCCAAGGGACGGAAGAGCTGTTTAGTCAAATAACCACTGAAAAGACACCGCGTGTTTCTCTCCCTGGCGTCCTGTCGCTCTTAATGCTTGCCAGGCGTGCAGAGCACCCTGCGCCCCAACTGTGCGGGCGAAGGCAGGGAGCGGAGGCGGCCCCGTGGCTCCCAGCGCCCGCGACGGGGAGCTTCGACACAGACCTGCAAGGCAGGGACCTACACGGGGCCCGGCCGTCTGCGCCCTCCCAGGGAGGAAGCGAGTCTTCACCTGCTCGGGGTTCCTCCTCTCTCCCTCCTGCGCTGCAGCTTCTGGATCTGATTCTTATGCTCCTACGACTTCAGCTCAATCACTGGTCTCCAGCTTCTAACCCAAACATCCCTTCTATTCGCTAACAGCAGAAATGATAAAAGCTAAAATGATGAACAGAAACTATAAATGCTCAAAAGACGCAGGTGGCGAAAGCGTGCGCGTGTGCTGCGCTCTGACAACTCCCCTCAGGAGGAAGCGCCCCACCCCGCTCAAGGCCGCCCCGCCCTCACCCACCTGCAGCGTGGGGGCCTCGCACGCCCTGCACGGGCCCGACGTGGCTGGTGGGGGGGACACGGGCCACTCCGCTGCTGGTGACTGGGGGCGGGGCCGTGGGGTTCAGGCACCGTTTCTCTGACTTCTCCCTGTGCCACGAGAGAGCGCGCGAACAGGTGAGCATCTGGGTCTCTGGCCACAAAACCGTTTCCCGTGGCCCCGGCTCTGCTGCAGGGCCCAGGGGCCATAGCAGGGTGACCGCCCCCAACTGTCCTCATAGGTGGGACACAATGCACTCTGACTTGGTGGGTGCAAAGGGCCTTTCCTAGCGGACCCAAGCCACACCCGTGTAACTGTGACAGTATGAATGAAGCTTTGATCTCCAACCCATGCCGTCCGATCAAGGGCATCTGGCGGGAAGTGCTCGTGAGCCCCGGCTCAGTACAGAGGGGCTTTTGGAACAACCCTAGGGCTCAACGCAGGCCCATGAGGCGACCCATCTCAGAACCTCCTGAGACTCCAGATGGCCCCTGGGAGACTTACCACTGGCACAGGTACCAAAAACGGGGGAGATGCCACACTGTCTCCCCTCCCCTCTTTCCATAAAGCCCCACCCCCGTGGCGGACGACCTCTCCCGTCCTGTCCCCTGGGTTCCGCCTCTGGTGAAGTCTTTTGCCTCCCAGGCCACCCGAAGGCCACCCCCACTTGGGGCCCCCATCCGATTAGGAGCCCACTGGGAGACCACACAGTCCGCGGGGAGGAAGGGGCGTCCGTGGCGTCACACGCACTTCTCCAGCTCCAGCTGCGTCTTGAGCTTCTTCTTCGCGCCCATTGTGAGGGACTCAAATTTATTTAGATCTTCCTCCGTGAGGCTCAGAAACTTCCAGAGAAGAAACACATTACAAAGTTATTGAGACTCAATTAGGACTCGAAAACAAAGAACTTGAAATATTATTAATAAATACACCCTCCCAGCAGCATATGCAAACAGACCAACTCTAACTGGGTAAGGAAAGCCTTGGGGGTCAGGCGTCTGGGGGCTCAGTCGTGAAGCGTCTGCTTCGGCTCAGGTCATGAGGCAGGGATCGAGCCCTGCTTCGGGCTCCCTGCTCAGGGGAGCCTGCTTCTCCGTCTCCCGCTCCCCCCGCTTCTGTTTGATCTCTCTCCCGCTCACCCTCTCTGTAAAATGCATAAATAAAATCTTTAGGGAAAGAAAAAGGCCATGGGAACCCCACAATAGCCCACTGCTAAAGACATGGTGTCCCTTGTTCAAAATACGAAACGCTCACTTTGCATATGAGGCGCAGAGGCCTTGTCCCCTGCGCCCTCTGCACGCGGCCTGGAGAAGACAGGGCAGCGGGAAGGGCCACGCCGTGCCGGGGACTAAGGAAAATGTCTCGCAGTTCCCACGTCCCTGGGGGTGCGCCTCTCCCGTCCAGGGACCCACCCCCTCAGGCCGAGCCATTTATCCTCCTATAAACAGGGGAGCCCCAACAGCTCTCCTGTGTGAAAATCACCCTCATTTCAGGGGCAAAGCAACTTTGCTGGGAAGCAAGTGGTCGGGAAACACTGGAGCCGCCGGGACTGAACGGGAGACTGACCCGCGCGTCTTCTACGAAGCAAACAGAGCGCTCTGGTTCTCCCCACAGCTCACAACGCGCTCTGTGATTTTACGGCCAACATTCAACTCCCACATTCCACCAAAGCAGTATCTATTGTTTTCTTAGGATTTACGAATCTTAAGCCAAGAGTATTACAAATGTACTCAGAACGGCCTATTTTGTTCTAAAAGCTCGACTTCCAGGTTCAACTGCAGATTTTCGGACAAAGATTTTCATCGAGATAGAAGCACCAAGGGACTGTGTCCAGCAGGGGAATCAGAGCTCAAACAGGGCCATGGGTCAAACTCCGTTTGCTCAGTGACGCCAAGACTTCAGAAATTCCAGAATTTTCTTTAACAACAAAAAAATGCTCATTAGAACTCTGTTGTAAAAAATAATTTCCAGGCGCCTGGTAGCTCAGTGGGTTGAGCGTCCAGCTCTTGATTTCAGCACAGGTGATCTCCAAGTCCTTGGATCAGCCCCAGGGCAGGTCCCGCGCTCAGCAGGGAGTCTGTCTCCCTCTGCCCCCCCCACCCCCATCTCTTAAAAAAAAAAACAACTTTGTAGGACTGCTTCAAAAACATATAAAATTCGTCTATTCCTTGGAGCTGTGAGACCATCAATCAGTTGATCACCAGCGGCAGCTTCCCTGGAGGCAAGCACCTGGGTGCCGGGCACAGCAGGCCCTTCAGGTACCGCGCCCAGGCAGAGGCACCCAACAGGGCGCATGTGCCCGGAGCTCGCCAAGTCTCCGGGAACAGCTGCAGGGACACAATGGCCTTCCTATCACGCCGAGTACCTATCACGTGAAGACCCCAGCCTATCTTACAAAAAAACAAAAACAAAGCTGTTCTCAACCCATCAGGCTGGAGTCCTTGCCTCAGCAGCAAGAGGACTTCCAATCCACACCCAGTGCCACCCCCCAGCCCCGGTGGGCGTGCAGGGCTCGGGGCGCACATACAGGCATTGAACACCAGGTGGCGGGAATTCCCCATCAGGGGCAGTGTAGACACCTGCCTCCGTAGCCCACCCACTCACCCACATACCTTCTCCATGGTGAGCTGTTTGAAGACGGGATAGTACTTGTGTAGGCGCAGTTTCCGAAGCCAGTCTAGGATCCCGTTCTGCTCCTGGGTCTGAGGGGTCTGCAGCCCGGAGGGCATCAGGATGGCAGGCGAGGAGTCCATCTGGGCCCGGTAGGCCAGCGCCGAGCCTGCACCCCCTGTGTGGGAGCAGTGGGGCAAGGCGGCCGCGCTGGCCGCGTGCTGCAGGTGGTGCTGGGTGCCGCTCTGAGACGAGGGGACGCCGGCCACGCCACACACAGGCCTGTGGGGACAGCAGACAGGTGGTCTTCCCAGGACCGCAGCCCCCCACACATGGGCAGGCAGTGGGCTGGAGCGGACTCCCTGTGCTGGGCCGTATCCGAGGCCACGCCCACTGCAACACCATCATCCTTTCCTGCCACTGCCCCCCAACACCACCCCCTGGAGGTGTGCACGTGTTTGTATTTGGGGACGTGTGCGGCTGTGTCACCACCGGACTCCAGACTCTGGGCCGAGCTGCCCGGTTTCTGTTACTCTGTCAGAGCAGGATACTGAGAATCCTAGCTGCACCTGACTCCTGACCCTTTAACGTTTGAAAGAGCGCACGTCCCAGCAGCGGGCTGGAAGGAGCACTCAGCGTCCTGCCTTCTGCCCTTGGCCCTTCCATCCCAGACCGCACACCCCCACGTTCACAGCGTACTCGGGAGGCAGCAGGCCGGGGTGAAGAGAAAAGGCAGCCCTCTGGAAGCCCCCGTGTCCACGTAAGAGTGCGTGCGTGCGCGCGCGTCACTGTCTGCGAGGCCAGCCCACGGCAACGGCAGCCTGTCACCTGAGCACCGCCACTGTCACCATCAGGCCTCCTGCTGATGGAGGACCCTAGGAGCAGTGGCCCTCCCACCTCACGGGCACAATCGCTCCCCGGGAGCCTATAAAAATGAAGAGTCTCTGAAATTCTGGTTTCCTAGGATGTGCAGGGCCCGGAAATTGGCTTTTGCAATAAGAGTCTTGGGGAATTCCAACTCCGGGGGCTCAGAGAACCACTTTCTTTACGCAGAGAAATCGTCAACTGGAGCGTCCATCCCACTGCCCTCACGACAGTATCAAGACTAAGAGCAAGGACGGCCTCACTGTACAAACAATTATCGATACACCATCTCTCCGCTGACTGAGACGTGCTGCTGCCACAGGCGCCTCACCTTCCGGACGCGCCCAGCACGGTGCCCACTTTAGAGAGGGAAGGGGTGCCAGCACCTGCGAGTCGAGATAAGCGTCATCACGTATGCAGGAAGTAAAGATGTTTTCATCTTCACGTTCCCCCCGTTGCAAACTCACTTGGACTTTGAAGCTGTTGGGTGGGAGACGAAGAACTGAAGAATTTCCTGACCTGCTCATTTTTTAACACGTGAGGAGGTAACGAAGCCAAATACCTAAAAATTAAACAAAGTGGTTTGTCGGCATTAAAATCGCCATTACCGAAAACTAACTGGGAGCCCAAGTCTGATTTCAGCTAAGAGACGCACGCACAGGAGAGCAAAGTGAGCGGAAGCCCCAGGTGTTCTCCCCGCTTCGATCCCCCACGCGCACCGCATGTCAGCACGGGGGCGGCGCGCTGGCACGAGGGCAGCGTCGGGCCCATGGCGGTGTCCCGTGGCACATGCCGCCAGGCTGCACCCGCGTGCGTCACTGGGGCTGGGCCCCAGGAAGCGGGCCGGCCCCCTCTGCCTGCTGCCCCGTCCACAGTATGTTCCACGGCCAGGAGGCACGGGCTTACGGGACTCCACCAGGCCCCACTGCTGTCCCGCAGCAGCCTCCACTCTCTAGCGCGCAACAGAGACTGTAACTGCACTCGACTCCCTCCGACTGTCAGGACCACAGGGAGCAGGAGCGCTCCGGGCAGCTCCATCAGGCTCTCCGTAAGCGAGGGAAACCCCCAGGGACACCTCCGGGACCCGGACTGCTGGGATGACCAGGCAGCTCAGGTGCGCAGCCCCACTCCGGCCCCACCACGTGTCACCCCACGGGCAGGCGCGGGTGGCCTTACCTCAGGTCTGCTTCCAGATCCACGTGGTTTCGCTCAACGTAAAATGAATCCGGGCCGGCTAAGCAAGGAGTGAACTTGTCCAGGTTGTCCTCGGGGTGCAGCTGGGGTAACTGAAACAGATGGAAAAGCACGGGACGTCGTCAAAATTCACCTGACACGGGCCTCTTCCGGTTGAGAGACGGGCAGGTGCCAGGTACTGACACCTGCGGGACACTACAACCCGCCCTGCTCTCAGCCGTCCGGGGCTCCACCTCCACTGAGGATGTGGAAAGCCACAAAAGAACATCACACCCACCACGGCATCAGTAAAAACCTCCGCAGACGACACGACCGTACCTATCCGTGGGCCCACGGACACTCAGCCGCAAGGCCACCACGTGAGCGGAACTCCGAGAGGGACCTGCCCCGCCAAGGAGAGACAAGACCGTGACCCTGTCTGCTGTGGCACAGCACGAGGAAGAGGTGGCAGCCATGCCAGCAGGCAAAGAGGTCAGAAGATGGACACGTCCCATGGGCTGATCGTGGGCCAGACACTGGTCAGCCAAGAGCCCGTGATGCAGGGGGAGCACGCCCTCCTTCCCAGGCTCACTTCCACGGGGGCCTGGAGAGAACCTGGAAGGCAGCAGAGGTGGGGGCTGGCTGCTCCTGGGAGCCCGACCTACACCTTCCCTGGAGCCTTCTCTAAATGCAAGACGGAAACCCGTTAGCCGGGGAGGGACAGGACTGCTCCTGCTCCCAGAGCCCAAGCAGACCCTCCATTTCTGGGGATGAGGCAGAAGCACTCCTGTCCTGCCTCCGTGGGGCAGGGGTGGGGAGGGAGTCCTCCGGGCACCAGGCCACGGGCAAAGATACCCTGCCTCTGGGGGAAGGAACAAGCCGGCCCGCTGGCCCCGAAGAAAGGGCAAAAGCCCTCTTGGCTGAGGGTACTGCACCAGTACGAAGAGGAGGCCAGCTATTGCTGGCAAAGGAAGGGGCAGAGAAGCCCAAGGGCCCTGTGCCCGGGACCGAGCCTGGACCAGGAGGATGGAGAATGTCTCACCCCAGCACCAGTCTGTCACTAGGCAGTAAGTGACCGCCGTCTCCCCACAGAACAGGCCATCGACGCACAGAACAGCTGAGGGCCAAGGTGAGGCCAGACCCCCGAGAGGAACTTCTGACACTGCAGGCCCTTCTCCCCAGGCTCAAGGTACCCGCTGCCGTCAACCAGAGGAAGCTGAAACCTCCAAGGGCCGGGCGTGGGGGGTGGACGTAACTGCAGCAGCGACTAACCCAGCCCCAGCCCCAACGCTGGTCAGACTGAGTCGAGAACCCCGTGAGGGCTGGGAGCGGCGGCAGCACGCCCCTTTCTGGACAGATGTACCCTTTCCCTCAGTCTCCACATTTTCTAAACCTGATGTCTAACACTCCGTCAACAATTACACGATACCAAAAAAAATAAGGGGGAATGAAAAGTATCACGAGGAAAATCATCAGAGCCCGACTCAGAGGTAACCGCATGCGGGAACTACCAGGCCGTGATTGTCAACGACCGCGACTCGCGTACTGAAGGGTTCCGTGAAAAAACGGGCAACACGCAGGGCAACGAATGGAAACCTCAGCAGAGAGGAAACTTTACTGAACGATGTGTCAAATGGAAAACCTAGGAAAAGCAAGAAATCAGAACAACAGAAACCACGGTCCCAGAGATGAAGAACTCGGCACACAACAGGCTCGTGAGCCCGGGCAGAGCCACGGGCTGGACGTCAGGGAGCCCGAGAGCAGGGCAGTGGACAGCGTCTGGCCAGAACACACAGCGGAAAGAACCAGAAAAATAAAAGGGCACCGAGAGCTGTGAACAACGTCAAAGGTGCAGGTGCAGAGAGCTCAAGTCCCAGGATGAGAGGCGGGCGGAAGAGACATCTCAAGAGACAACGGGGAAGAATTCTCCAAAACGAACAAGAGACAACGCACCAGATTCTCAGGAAGCTCAGAGAAGGCAAAGCCAGGGGAGCATGACGCACCGTCAGAGCCCAGTGGGCCCAGCGCTCCCGCCAGCGCCAGGGCAGCCCGGAGCCGTGGACGCTCTGCAGGTAGAGAGGCGAGCGGGCACGCAGGGAGGACATCCCGCGTTCTCAGTGTCACAGAGGGAGCTGCGAATGCCAGCGCAGGGTCAGTCATTCCAGAGAGCGCGGCTGACAGGCCAGAGGACATGCAACAGCAAACGACTCCTGCCCAAGCTTTCGAGGCACGGTCCGCCAACCGGACCCCCCTACTGGACGGCATCCTGACCCTAGCGCGGAGACGGACACTCGCTTTGCAGACACTTTCAGCACGACACCCCGTGAGACACAGAGGACTGACGACGCTAAAGACAGGGTTCACTGCAACAGCCCGGGGCCAGCGGGCGGAAGACACGCGTGAACCGTGGAGGTGCACGCGCACGTGCGTGTGCGTGCCACGTGTCTGTGCGGGGAGGCTGGCGTCTGCATCTACTTAGTAGCGGAAGCTTTCGCTTGGATGGCCCTTGTAGAAGCGACCCGAGAACGAATCGTACGGACAAGAGATGGCGCCGGGACTGGACTCTGCCCATCTCCACAGGGTGACTGAGGCAGACCGCCCTCAGCCGCCTGCACCGGCCTCAGCGTCCTGCCCCTTCTCGTCTGCAACAACGGCAAGGGGCACAGACCGTGGCATCGAGGACCCTGTCCGGGCGGTCGCGCACACATCGCCCGCTCTGCCGGCTGAGGGAGGCCGTCCAGTCACTGAGGTATTCCACAGAGCCTTGGGGTTTCCAGAGGAGCCCTGAACCACCTTACCTTTGAAATAAATTCAGTCACTTCAGAGGGAGATTTGGTTACTGATGTTACTGAAGAATCAGACCACAAGACCTTAAAAACAAACAAACAAACAAACCTTAAAAACAAACGCCACGTACGTCCCTCACAACACACCTGTGCGGGAGTCTTCGCGGGCACAGGTGCAGTGAGCGTGCTGAGCCCCACGCGGGGAGCACCTGCCGAACAGGGTCGTTACACAGCCCCCGAGCGTGAGAAAAGAGTTCACGTCACTCAAGTCTTTGACGGCATCACTTCCTGTTCTGTGCAATCATGCAAACAGCCCCAAGTCGGAGACCGGACCCCCCGGGGTGTACGCAGTCACGGACAATCACGACGGCTTGTGTGTGCCAGGCACACCGTCCTCAAGGGCACCTCCTTGCAGCTGCCAACGAGACAAGGCCCCCGCCCTCGGGAACCCAACAGAACAGGGGGCCGGGGGGTGGTCAGCGCTCGGGGAGCAGCGGGGGTACCGGGGGCGGGGGCCGGGGCTCACAGCTTCAGGAGGGAAGGGCTCAGCAAACAGCTCTAGGTGCCTGAGACCCGAGCCGCACACGGCCGCGTGTCCACACTGCATGTGGCGGGCGGGCAGCCTCGTGTCATCACCGTGTCCCCGCCAGTCCCCCAGGTGGACTGCAGGCATCCTGGGGGAAGGTCTCCTCCCTCCGGCTTCCCAGTGCTTCTCCAGTGTTTCCTGACCACCCCAGGGCGCTGAGGACTGTGGGGGAGGAGGGAGAGTGGCACAGAGACGCGGGTGCAGGGTGGGAGCTGGGCTGGGAACAGGGAATCCAGCAAGGGGCGAGGAGAGAGGGCCATAAGAAGGGTGAGGCCATGAAGCAGGAACTTGGCCCTCAGATCCAGAAGGCGCAGGAGGGTTTCAAGTCAGGAAGTCAAACGACCCAAAAGAAAACGCTGTATTCTCAGCGATGCAGCTGACGCGGCGTGCTGGTCTGGAAGACCCCGTGCTCCCGCCCCCGCCTGCGCCTTCTGACCAGCAGCCCACTGCGGCTGCCACCGGACCGCTCGTCCCCCTTCCCCTGCCGAAGCCCACACGGGTCCCCACAGCAGGCGCGCCACGGAACAACCGCGAAGGGGGCCGTCTCCTCGGGCTCCGGGGACTCACAGACCAGGGAGAAGGGGCGCGGTGCCCGGGGCTCCCTGACAAGGCAGGCGCCCGCGCTCCTCGCCGCCCAGATGGACCTGCACCAAGTTGTAGACCCCCACCTGCTTGTGTGGGGCAAGTTGCCACCCAATGAACCACCAGCACCATCTGAGGACAGAGGCGGAAACTGCATGGCCCTCCCATGTTGGCCCCAAAGCACAGGCGACGTCCGGGTTGGTCACAGTGCAGAATGTGCTGCAGGACACCCCTTTCCTGGTGACTCTCACACCAAGAGCAAACCCGATTCTCTCACTGTCCACATTCTCAGGGCACAAATGCGGCGTGAAGCCCAACACACGACATCCAACGCCCCAGCAACGCGCAGCACAGACACGTCGGGTCACGCGGACACAGACTCGCCGCCTCCCCGACGACGACGTGCTTCCCGCAGGCACCGCTGCCACGGGCCGTCAGCTCCTGACACTTTACTTGTCCTCCCCAGAGGCGCGGGAACTCCAGTCTAGGGCAGACAGAGAGCACGGGCTCACTGCCGGGCCACCCGCGGCACTGCCGGGCTCCGCAGTGGACGCAGGCTCCTTCACACTCACCCTCAGCCTCGCCTGCCAGGCCAGGCCCCCGCCCCAGAGCGGGGGACAGGCCCCAGGAGGGGCACGGAACGCAGAGCAGCCTCCCGGCATGCCACATGCCACCCACATGGCCCGTCATATCCAAGGCGGCACCAAATGGAGGCTACCCCATTCCATTATATGCCACCAAGGAAACACTGGCCAGACGCACGACAGCACTGCGGTCTCCTGTCCCTTGTACCCGTTCCAAAAGCTACACACGCAGCCTCACTAAGCCAGACTGTGAGTGCCCTAAATATACGCAAACATCAAAACGTGCCCCAAACAGACACCCAGGACTACAGCTCGCTACATCTCAGTCCTGTGACTCACTGGTCAGCTCCGTCCCCCATGTCCCTGTTGTCACCCACAGCACTCGACTCGGGCATGCGGAGCAGAAAGCTCTCGCCGCACGGGGAGAAGCCCAGCCAGAGGCCCGGCCCACGGCTCCCACCACACCTCAGCCATGAACCAGGAGCCCAGCACCTGGTCACCCGGCACTGGCTGCGGAGAGCTCAAGGCAGCCAGTCAGAAACACAGACCCTGTGTGGAGAAGAAAACGGTTTTAGAAAACTAAAAGCCATCGTTCATATTCTCAGGGGTCTAAGAGAAGAAAACCATCCCCAAGAACAGGATGCCACGAGGAAAGAACTGTCAGAGGACAAGTATTCTTTGAACTCAAAACCAGGACAGGAGTGAAAAATCCCACTGACGAAGGGGGTAGATGACACAGTCCTCCATCAAGTAGATCGAAACACCACAGGGAAAGAAAACAGAGAAAGAAATCAAACAAAGGACCAGGCGTGAGGTCCAGTATGCAGAGAACAGGAGCCCCAAAGCAAGGACAAGAGAGACACAGAGCAGAGGAAATCAAAGAGGAGGATTCGGATCGGGACCCCTCAATTACGGATGTGAGCTTTCAGGTTAAAAGGGCCCACCGAGTCCCAGCACAGTGATGGAGACAGACCCGCAGCCAAGCACGGGTGAGCGGCACGTAAACACCCAGGACCGAGGAGACCGGCACGAGTGCCCGAGCTCCGGATCAGTAGGTGGGAAGCCAGCAGAGCTCTCGGCCCCGAGGAAGAGCGGTGCCCAGCTCCGCCGGTGCTCTCGGTCACGCTCGGGGAGGGCGAGGTAGAAGGCACGTGCAGACAGGGAAGGCCTCAGAGGCAGAACCTCCCCAGTGCCCTTTCCACGCAGCTACCAGACAGAGGATGACAGAAGACCTGAGAACAGGGGATGGTGCCTGTAAGTGGGTTACATGGGTGGGGATGAGGGGCAGATCTGGGGCTCTCCAGGGACCATCAGGAGGGCACGTGGCAGCAGAACCACAGCTCTGAGGCGGAACCAACAGGGCTCTGGGCCTGTCTGAGCACGAGGTGGGGGATTCGCAGATCATCATAGGACTTTTGGAGCAAAGTCCTTTCTAAGTACTTGTTCCCAAGCAAGAGACAAACCGGCAAACACAAAGACGACTGGAGGGAAAGCCCGAGCGCGCACCGTGCAGATCCGGGATCAGCAACTCTCCACAGCACACGGACACCACAGAGCCACCGAAGTGCGCGTCCCAACAGTTCCCGGCGGCTCGAGGCCACGTTCGCACGATTACGGGCTCTGAACTCCGCGAGAACAGCTGATGGAAAGGACTCCCCTCTGCTAACGGCAGAAAGACATTCGGAGCACGTAAGATTATCGTGAAAAGAAAAACGGAAACTTTCAAGGAAAAGACAGAGCACTCAAGGACACATGAGTGGCTGCGTTCTCAGGAAAGAATACTTGTCATCAGCTGGGTTCCACGGTTCTTTCTGCGCTGCTGACATTCTGCAGTCTAGGAGGCGCTTAAGGGTTTGCACTCATCTTCTGGTATTTTCCCTCTCTGTCCTTCACTTTGAACGAGAAATCTTTTTATTAAAGTTTTTTTTTTAACGGTTTCCAGTTTTTCAACAGTGAATATGGGAAAACAAGTAAAACGTGGACATTTCCCACGCATGTCCGTACGCGCGACTTTGCGTTTGCAGCACTGGCTTCCTGCACGCTGAGATCTGACCCCTCAGGAGCCAGGAAGGAGCAGCTCCGACGCCAGTGAAAACCCACCAACCCCGCGGAAGCGAGCCGGAAGCATGGACGCCTGTGTGCGGTACCTGCCGGCGTACTAGAAGCATCTCCCTTCCGCTACAAGAGAAGGCTCTCGTTTGTATCCTGGAAACACTGATCCATAAAGAGTGGAACTAGAGATAAACAGGACTGAGGAAGGTGGGCAGAGGCCACCGGGCCCCCCGGAGCCAGGGAGGCCGGCAGGCAAGGTTTCTCTGCGTCTCCCTCTGTGGCCAACACGGCCGTCCCACCGCGGCCCAGGATGGCGTTTGATGGCTCCGGTCCCAGAGGGTAGCTGTTTATTTCCACATAGAAAAGACACCTTCCTTAAAGGACAATTTATGTAATGTTCCTTCGTTAGGGTTCTGTGGACAAAAGGAAAGGCTTAATCCTCAGGTAACTTTTTTTTTTTTTAATTTTACTGATTGATAACAGACCATAAACCACACCCACCTAAAGGGCATAAAGTGCTAAGTCTAGGCCTGTGTCTGCGTCCAGGAAACCACCACTCCCATCAATGCCACAAGTGTGTCCCACACCTCGAGGAAGCCACTGTGTGCCTTCTGTCGCTAGACACGGTCTGCATTTCCTAGTTTTATGTAAACGGGCCCACACCATACATCTTTTTTGGCAAAAGGTCTGGTTTTTTCACACAGATTGTGTAATCATTTGAGTTTTCTCCACACTGCTCGTGTAACACTAGCTCAGAGCTCTCCGCGCCGGGCGGTCCTTCCGCGGTATTTCTGGAACCGCCTCCCTGATCCGTTCTCCTGAGGACGGCCGCTCAGGGTGGCCCACATCCAAGTGCTGTGACCGTTCCCACACAAGTCTCTGTGTGACCCAGTGCGTTCCTCTCCTGTGCGTCACTACCTGCTGGTGGAACTAATGGGACATACTTTAGGGAAACGTTTAGCTTTTATAAAACTCCCAGACAGCTTTGCAAAGAGGCCGCAGGCCAGAGCACAGGCGCTGGCCGCTGGAGAGGGGCCCTGCTTGACCAGGTGCGCCCCTGCCAGCAGCCCACCGGCCCGGGGTCCCCAGCTCGGCCATCCCGCAGGCACGCAGCGGCGTCCCCCTGTGCGTCTCATGGCCGTCCTCCTACTGACGAGTGGGGCCCGACATCTGCTCGGGCGGGACGGCGCCCTCTGAACACTCTCTGCTAAGGTGTCGTTCAAATCTTGGGCTCATTTTTTACCCGGTTGCTCTCTCACTACCAAGTGGTGAGACTTCTTCGTTTGGGATGAAAACTGTCGAGCACGTAACGTGCAAATCCCCCCAGGCTGCGCCCTGCTCGGCCATCTCCCGTGCCTCTAGAGGAGCAAGTCTGACACTTGATCAAAGCTCGCGTGTTCATGCTGCCTTTCGTGGGTCATGCTCTCGCTGCTGTAGCAAAGAGACCCTGCCTAGCCAGTCTCGCGTGCTTTCTTCCAGAACTTTCGTCGTCTTAGGTTGTACATTTCGCACAGTTTTCACTTAGTTTTTGACTGTTTTCTACGCGAGGTGAGAGGTCTGGTCAAGGGTTCTGGAGCCATTTGTTGAAAAGACCGTCCTTTCTTCCCTGGACCGTGTGCACGTCAGTCGGCCACTGACCTGCGGGTCTAACTCTGGACCGTCTCCAACCCGCTTACAGGTGCCCCTGCTCATGGCGACCCGACACACCGGCGTCTCCGGAGTCTGACGGCGAGTCTCCCAAGACAGGCAACGGGCAGCTTCCAACTTAATCCTTCTTCTCAAAACTCTTTCGACTGCTCTCTTGTTCCTTCCGTACGTATTTTAGGACTAGCTTGTTGATTTCTAACAGAAAAATCCTACTGGGGCTTATTTTTGAGGGGAGTCATTTCAGACGACAGCAGGCGGGGAAGACGGGTGGGCTCGCCGCTGTGCTCTCTCCGGAGCGTGGCGCTGGCAGCACTTGGCGGGACGCCCACACTTCACTCCCAAAGGTGCACAGCCTCGAGGAGTCTCCCTTCCTCTCATGACAGGAGTCCCCAGCCTGACCCGTGAGCGACAGCCACAAGCAGCTCCCCACGAGCCCCACACAATACAAGCACACAGTGTCAGCTGCGTAAATCAACAGTGTTACTACTGTAATAACAAAGTAAACATTTTTTTAACATTGATCCTATCTGTCCTTTGTGCCTGGAGTTACTACCATTCAACAAACACGGTTTGGGCTGGGAATCCCTGAGGGCACATCGGGTTAGTACTCCAAAGGGCACCTGGGTGGCTCAGTTGGTTGAGCGTCCTACTCTTGATTTCCGCTCAAGTCACCATCTCAGCGGCTGAGCCCCAGGCCTGGCTCCGCGCAGAGCGCGCGGTCTGCTTGCGATTCCATCTCTCTCTCCCTCTGCCCCTCCTCCCACTCATTTGCTCCTCAAATAAATAAAATATTTTTTAAAAGTACCCCCAAAAGAAAAAAAGTTTGGACTTCTAGAGGAGAGAAGAATTCTCACTTTCCTAAATACGAGAATACTTTTGTCAGTTATCGCTTCAAGAAAAGTAAGATCCGCAGGTAACCGAAGCTTTGGCTTTAAGTCTCCGAACACGCTGGCTCACCTGCCAGGGCAGAAGGGTCTTCAACCTCACACCTCCCCCGGGTGACGGCGTCCACACCAGGCCACACTCCTGAGTCTGGCGCTGCAAGCTCAGGGCTCCAGGCTCCTTTTGCCAAGGACTCATGGCACCATGTCCCCGTTCTCACCAGCCTGCTGTCTCCCCATTCCTGACCATAACTCCATCTCCTAAGAGGCACGAGAGGCCACAAGAGACCAAGCGTCTATCCTGCCAAAGCTCCCATCTTCAAAGAGAAGCTACAGGCAGTCACATTGGCCACAGTCTCCACATCTCACATTGTACAAGCCCAGACTGTGGGCCCACGGACGGGGCCGGGTCAAAGCCGGGACAACCAGACGGGCTGAGTGGGGCCCAGCCCCCAGAACGGCTCGGGCCTGTGGAGGTGGTGACCGCCGAGGGGAGGCCTGGCCATGAGACACAGAGCGTGGTGGAGGGGAACAATATACCCACTAGGGTATACCCACTAGGCTCCCACTAGGAGATACCCACTAGGCTCCCACCCCTGTGAGGCCTTGAAGATGTCAGGATTCCCAGGTTCTCCAGGTGCTGAGACCTGGGTGCTGGTCCCAAGTTTCGACAGCCTGCAAGCTTTCCCATACATTCTGAAGACACATGCACGGTGAACAAGGGCTTCTCACAATGTGGTCCCCCTCGGGAATCAAGTGAAGAGGTTATCCCTTTGGTGGCAAAACTACTTGAAGTATTTTGATGTAGCCATACGTTTGGAAAGTCAGTGAACCACACACAGGACCAGACCACGGACACTAGATACGAACCAGAGGCTGATCCCTGAGAACCCTCCCTGGGAGCGCAGGAAGCAGTGCTCCTTACCACTCAGGGTTCGGGCAGGCGCACAGACAAAGGACAGCCTCCCGCCGCGGGACGGCCGTGGAACAGAACCCCAGGGGATGGTCAGCCGGGACACATTTCCCAGCTTCCTCCGCAGCAAAGTAGGATCAAGAAACTAAGTTTTAGTCAACAAGAAATAAGTGGAAATGTCTAGTGGCCACTTTTCTCTGTCTTAAAAGAAAGAGAAAAGTAAAGTTTTCCCTCCTCTTCATCCTGTGTCTTGCTACCTGGAATTCAAACGTGAAGACTAGCGCCCTGGCTGCTACCCTGGACCGTGAGGCTGAGGGCGCACACCCCAGGGGTATCAAAGCACTCAATGGTGGGGAGCCCGGCCCCCAAGGACCCCACGGAGCCCAGCTCCTGGCACCCTGTGAGGCCGACGAGCCACGGTTCCTGGGGGTCTCCAAACCGAAATCGCAGTGTGTCTCAATTGTCACACAGTGTCTCTGCGTCAGCCAACTCTGGTGACCAGCCAGCGGCAGCTGAACACGCTAGTCCAGACAACCCTCAGCACACAGGCGGGAGGCAGCTCGCTTGGGACCCAGGCCCAGCTTTCTGCGTCCCCGGCACTGGCACGGTGCTTGGCAAGACAGCCCACCTTCCACTTAGATCAATCTAAGTATCTACTCAGAGCAAATGTTTCCTTCCTGCCCCTTAGAGGAGAAAAGGGGGAAAAAAAAGTTGGCATCTTACCTCAAAGGAACATTCAACATTTCTGTCATTTTTTTTGTGTGATAATCCCTTCAGGTCTATCTTTTCGACACTCACTGTAAAAGCAGAAAACAACAACAACAAACAAGATTATAAAAATGAAATCAAACCTTGAAGTACACATCACTTAGCATTTGACATTTTAGCAATTTTCAAAACGAGGCTTCAGACGCCGGCGCCACTGGCTCTCCTCCGCCAAGTGCTCGCTGGGGGGGGGGGGGTGCGCGGCTGGAGAGGGAAGCAGACAGTCGTCACCCGCAGGAACGGGGGTGGCAGGGACAACAGGCTGAGCATCAAAACAAATCACAGAGAAGGAAGAGCAGGGTCCTTGGCAAGAGAGCAGGAGGTGACAGGAGCGCTGGGGCACAGACCCTGGCGATGAGGGCAGACCAGGGGGATCTGCTCTGACTTCGCCAAAACTCACGCTCCGGGCTGTGGGCAGTGACGGTGCCGGACACCGGCGCCCGCACAGCGCCTCGGGGGAGCTTCCTGTCCCCAGTGACGGCGTCACTGTCCCATGACCGTGCAGGCAGCCCGGGAGGCAGCGGCGGCATGGGGCACCGGGGCCGGCGGACGCGAACCACCACCGGCGTGGACCCGGCTGCCTCGTGCAGCCCCTCAGAACTTCTCAGAGGGTGCGATTAAGTTCTCCGGCACTTAGATCGGGGTGAATACAAACGCCGGAGCACAAACACCCGCTGAACAGAGAACAGCCACTTACAAAGGTGGAGCGGGCTCCGAACGGCCCAGCCACACTGAGGTGTGCACGTAATGACAATGTCTCTCACGTGCTAAGGGAACGGATTCCTGACGCGTCTACACTGTCTGTGGACGTGGGCAGTCCAGTCACCCCGTGTGGCCACGGAGCAGAGCCCACCCCAGACCAGGCGCTTCAGAACGTGTGTGTGACATACGTCCTGCTCCACGTCAGTCCTCCCGGTCCCAGACAACCCTGGGCCACGGACTACGGAGAGTCCCATGGACCTTCCAAATCTAACTGTCCAAGCACCCAGCAGGACCCCTGAAACCATGAAGCTCCACGTCCTGCAGACGGGCGGCGTCCCAGCCTGCCACACCGGCGTCTCCCAAGGTCTTCCCCGAGAACACCGGCGCTCTCAGGTGTTAGGACACGCCTAGAAAGCCTCACGGTGAGGCGGCTCAGCGGCAGAATCCCAAGACTTCCTGGGAGACTGGGCACAACGGAATCCTAGGGGCTGCTGCAGTCCTGAAGACACAAGTCTGTTCTTATTCACAAATCCCCAGTTTTTTGGGCCACAGACTCTTTATTCCCTACCGTGTCCACAATTCCCAGAAAGACAGACCGCTCTGGGCAACGCGCTTCGGGGAAGGTTCTAACCCTGCCATGCCCAACACGGCAGTGGCTAACCACACGTGACTCCTTACGTGTGTATTAATTACAACCGGACAGAATTAAAAATCTAATTCTCGGGTTGTGCTTCTCTCAGCCTAAGTGCTCCACAGCCAGATGTGGCCAGTGGCCGCTGTGCTGCGCAGCAGACATGGAACATTCCATCACCGCCGAGACTTCTGCACAGCGCGGGCGAAGCGGTGCTGGCAGACGGGAGGCTGCCCTGGGCCTGTTTGTGTACACGGCTCTGCTGGCGCACAGCCACGCCATTTGTTTACGTATCGTCAGTGGCTGCCCTCCACCCGCGACAGCGGAGCCCGGCCGCTGTGCCAGAAACCCCATGCCTCCCAAAGCCCAAAATATTCACTATCTGGACCTGTGCAGAAAAACGTGCAATCTTTGTCTAAAACCAACAGTTGTTTGCTCACCGACCTGTCCTATCAGATCCCCACTGTGCACAAGGTCGAATTCCAGGGGCTGGGAAAAGAGCGGCAAACGTGACAGATGGGTCCTTGCATGCACAGAGGTCACTGGCTGTTTTGGAGAAGACCCTTTCCCTGCTGAACTCTTCTCTCCTAGGCCTCCCTAATTCTGTAAAGTCGCATCGGGGTCAACATGCATCTTGGGAGATACAAGAACCCACTCGGTTTTAAGTATTTTAAGCTTAAAATGGCACCTTACAGGAAGGAATTACTCTTAAGAAAAAAAAAAGGTGTTTGTTTCCTTTCTGGAAAAACAAAGAACACACATTTCGAGGTTGCACACCTCCCTGTTTTCTCTCAGTGAAACCACTCGCTGTTCCTGTCTGGCTTCCTCCATCAGACTGTCAGCAAATAAACAGCTTTTATGTTTTCCCAATCCGTATTTTTTTAAAACCGACCCACAATGACATCACTCTAACCCAGATCTTCCCTTTTTTTTAAGCAACAGAATATAGGAAGTCAATGAACACAGAAAAATGTCATCAGCATTTTCCCTGCCACGAGACAGCGACGTGAACCTGAATGTCCCAGGACTGGGTAATATTAGGATTTATGAAAAAAAGTCAAGAGAGAAAACCCCAACTGGGCTGAAGGCGGAAGGGACTCATCTTTGGACAGGAGAGCATGGAAAGCAGAAGAGCTATTCAGCCGTCTGCAAGGAACCCAGGCGTCGGAACTCCACGGCTCCAGTCTGGGGGGCCTGGACAGGACGGCGGCCGGAACAAGCCACACCATGGGCCGGCGCCACCACCCCACCCGTGGGCAGTGTGTATGGTTCGGGTGCCAGGCACCGCAGGGGGCTCTGCTCTTCCGCCTGCAGGGGACTTGTTCCCGTGGGGGCACGTGTGGTCACATGGGCCCTGCAGTGTACGTGGGGGCAAGAGTGGCTAATGTGGGGTGGGGCTTTGGGGCCTTTCATTAGGCTTCAAACATGGAGAAGCCGCTTCTCGATTCTGGAGCTCACGTTACAGACCACGATTTCAAGGACAAAAACATGGGGGCGCCTGGGTGGCTCAGTGGGTTAAGCCTCTGCCTTCGGCTCGGGTCATGATCTCAGGGTCCTGGGATCGAGCCCCGCATCGGGCTCTCTGCTTGGCAAGGAGCCTGCTTCCCTTCCTCTCTGCCTGCCTCTCTGCCCACTTGTGATCTCTGTCAAATAAATAAATAAAATCTTAAAAAAAATATATATATATGTATATATAAAAGAAAGTTGAAAAATAAGTTACCAAAGCTGACAAGAATCACTGTGCTTGGTGGTGGAAGTACGAGTAGTTCATCCCAAATTTCCATCATGCAGTTTTGTGATTTTATTTTATTTTTTTAAATATTTTATTTATTTGACAGACAGATCACAAGTAGGCAGAGAGGCAGGCAGAGAGAGAGGGGGAAGCAGGCTCCTGCTGAGCAGAGAGCCCGATGCGGGGCTCGATCCCAGGACCCTGAGATCATGACCCGAGCCGAAGGCAGAGGCTTAGCCCACTGAGCCCCCCAGGCGCCCCAGTTTTGTGATTTTAAAGGGCACTCGTTCCCATATGCACACAAACACCTGTCTACGACCCACTTCTCTCTGGACGGACACAGGGACCCCTGCCTCACACTGCGCTGGTCGGTCCTGCACACGGTCATCTACCTGGCCCAGAGAAGTCTCATGATTTTCTGAAGAGTGCACGCGGTCACGGCGAGGTGTGGGGCGCCAGAAATCGGTCCATAGGGAAGGGATGCGATTGGCGCCGCCCGCGAAGACTCCCTGAGAGAAGGACCACAGCCAGAGGCTCACTGGGAAGGTGGAGCGGGCAGGAGGGGCTCCCGTGTGGGGCAAACGGGCTAGGGTCTGGACTGCACGCAGGCACGTCTTCCAAGGACTGATGGGGCCCAGGCAAGGGCACCCGCGTCCAGGCCAGCCCGCTCGCTCTTGCTGAGCCGCGAAAGCAAAGCGGGAGGGGCGTTCTCCTTTTAAGACCATTTGTCTCAACTTCCATTCTTTTCTCACTCAAGACGCACATGAGCACTCCGCCTCCGGTGCTGTGAGTCGGACCATGTGGCCTTCAATAAAACATCCAATTCCACTCAACTACCTCTTTTATAATCGGATCAATACCTAATTTCAAAAACCGGTGCGCGAATATAATTGGGAAAGGCAGGAGGGAATCTGCGGGGCAGGGAAGTACGCGGGCACTGCCGGAGCCAGGGGGTCGAAACAACCGGAAACAGGACTGGGCTCTGAATGGGGGAGGGGCTGGCAAAAAGTCGCAGATGGCTTAGGGCTGAGCCAGACCCAAAGGCCTCTCAGCCAGCAGCGACGAAACCAGGACCAGAAACACTCTCGTGATTGCGTCCTGGGAGCTCCCAGTCCAAACCGCCACGCTCTGAGGGTCACTCTCACGCCAAGCATCTTCAAGTGATTTCCGAGAGCTGTGACGTCACTGGGATGTTTATCTCAGACACGTACAGATAACAGCCTCAATGTGTTCCAAGAACGAGTCACTCCTCTGAAACACCTTTTCCCTTTCTACCCTAAACTCTTCTGGAAAAAACGGAGTCGCTGGCACTTTCCTGCCATAGATCCTTTAGCTGGTTTCGATCAAGTAAATCTCCTGTCAAACAGTTTAATTGCGATGTGCCCCACATAGGAAACCACTTTAAAACTTACCCAAACGACGCTACAGGCCATCACAGCCAGGACTGCAGGAGAAGATGCAAGACCAGCCCCTGCACACACCCCACCTTCTCCCGAGTCTTACACAGAAGGACTCAATGTCTTCTTACTTAAAGTAAAGAAACGGAACCAGAATAACATTTAAGATGCTTCCTGCTTACGGGCGCCAGGGTGGCTCAGTTGGTTAAAAGTCTGCCTTCAGCACAGGTCACGATCCCAGAGTCCTGGGACTGAGTCCTGCACTGGGATCCTCGCTCATCAGGAGCCTGCCTCACCCGCTCCCTACGCCTGCTGCTCCCCCTGCTTGTGTGCTAATAAATACAGTCTTTTTTTTTTTTTTAAGATTTTATTTATTTATTTGACAGACAGAGATCACAAGTAGGCAGAGAGGCAGGCAGAGAGAGAGGTCGGCGGTGGGGGAGCGAGCTCCCCGCGGAGCAGAGAGCCGATGCGGGGCTCGATCCCAGGACCCTGAGATCACGACCTGAACCGAAGGCAGATGCCTTAGCCCCTGAGCCACCCAGGTGCCCCTAATAAATACAGTCTTAA